CTTGGAGTCCTAGTGGACGATCATTTGGCTGTGAGCCAGCAGTGTGCAGCAACAACCAAAAAAGCTAACAAAGTCCTATTACCGCTTTATAAAGCCCCAGTAAGACTACACCTAGAATACTGCAGCCAATTATGGTCACCATATCACAAAAAAGATGTTGAGAGTTTGGAAAAAATTCAAAGAAGAGCAACTAAGATGATCAGGGGCCTGGAGACTAAAACATACGAAGAACAGCTATGGGATTTGGGTCTGGCTAGTCTAAGGAAAAGAAGAAATAGGGGAGACATGATGGCAGTGTTCCAGTATCTGAGGGGCTGCCACAAAGCAGAGGGGCCCAGGTTGTTCACCAAAGCACCAGATGGAAGGATGAGAAACAACGGTTGGAAACTGACCAAAGAGAGAAGCAACCTGGAACTAAGGAAAAACTTCCTGACAGTGAGGACAATCAACCAGTGGAATAACTTACCCCCAGAAATCGTGGATGCTCCATCACTGGAGATTTTTAAGAATGCTCCATCACTGGAGATTTTTAAGAAGAGACTGGACATCCATCTGTCTGAGACGATATAGGTTCTCCTATTCTAACATAGTTGTGCATTACAAATCTAATGGTGCCTACAATTAGTGAGTGTGGTTTTGCGTCTATAACATTCCACTAATTCAAACATGAAATCTTATACAGAAAAGAATTCTGCAACAAGAAAACCCTAAACTGAAATATGAGACAAACTAAGAGGAAACTGTTCTTCAGTATAGCCAAATGGCTATACTGTAGCATTTTGGGAGCCAGGATTTGAAAGGTAAAGAAAAAGGACACTGGCCAAAAAAAGAAAAAAACAACGGTACAAGACACTGAAAGGAGAGATGGTGCATTAGCCTACGCATTTTCCTAACACTGATGGGATTAAGCAAAAAGCATCTGTACCGTCTAAAAACAACCATCCCTTTCTCCCTCTACAATCATCAGAAAGTTGTAGTCATTAGACATGTAGCAATTTTAAGCATTGACTAAGGCTTTTTTAAGAGTGTAAACATCTTTAGTTGAAATATTTAATAGAGACAAGTAATTTGTTCTAATATTTCAGAGCATTCAGCTGGAGACCCATTACCAATGTTTTTGACATTAAAAAAGTGAATACCTTAAGAGCTAAAATTCTGTTTCCATTCCCCCTTACTTATTGTTGAGCTCAACATGAGAGTGTAATGCAAAGAGCACATCTACCATCTTTGTTAGATTGCAGGCAATATATGTTCCATTTGAAGTCAGAATGGCAGTCACACACTAGTAAGGGATTTCCCCATGATGATTTTAGTGACTAGTCTCCCAGCATTACTTTCCATAAGAGGAAACCAACACAGATGTTGCTACTCACTAATCCTACATTTGGAGCCAAATTAGATAGGAGGGCAGTGCATGCTTGAAAATGGTCATACTTTGGATCTGGTGCAAGCACAGTATTATTTACTAATCATTAAATCAGCCTGACATTTTTAGACCTCTCATGGACTTGAAAGAGATCCCATATTCTAAGGAATCTACTTTTAGAATTCTTCATGATAGGTTTTTAATGAAGGGCACCTGTGGGAAGTCACAACCATGAATGGGTGCACAGCAAGGCAGTGAGGAAGTGATCCTCAATATCAGCAACTTTTAAGATATTAAACACGCTGGGAATTCTGGGAGTCGAAGTCCCCACATCTTAAAGTTGCTGAAATTGAGGAACACTGCAATAGGGAATAAATGCAGCCTTTTTTTCTGCTAAAACATTACTTCTAACCCCAGAGTCCTTTAATAAATTAATAATTTAACAAGGAAGACTTTAAAAATGCACATTTTTTTTCAGACCATGTTTTGCAATATATTCTAAGGTAGACTGTGTACATTTTAGAAGTACATTCAGACCCTTGTAATCTGAAAGTATCCTTAGGATAGGCAAATATTGATGGGTAGAACATAGTCTGAAAGACGCTTTAGATTTCGATGGAATGAGAGGAAGCCAAAGCCTTTTGCAATAGTTGCCAGACATTTCAGGTTCCCTCTTTCCTATCAGAACCATAACAAGCAAGAGTATGTTGCTTTTCTTAGGAGCTGAAATTTTGGCTTCCGTGATTAGAGCTCTCACCTTTGGGGGATTCTTTTGTTACCACTGACAAATAAAAAATTGCTGAGCTGAATTTAGTCATGCCTCATCTTATTGATTCTAGCTATGTTCCTGAAGATCATTATTACCTGGTGCAGATAAAGATGTCTCCAGCTCAGTTTCCCTGAGAAGTTCTTGGCTCAGAATATTTGCAGAGTATGTACTAGACAACAAAAAACCCCAGAACTGGACATGTAGGTTTCTAGAATGACTGGACATTAATCCTACTGGTCACTGTCTGGCTCTAAGATTTCCTGTTATCATCTCCTTTGTGGGCATGTTCAACAATACACAACACTGTTTGGATGGCAGAGACACCTGGTTTAAATGACTCTTAAAGAGATGAAAGAAGCATTTGACCACAGCAGCCAAACATAGATGAAACTTTTCGCAGGGGTGGGATTCAGCCGGTTCGCACCACTTCGGCAGAACTGGTAGCTAATTTTTTGTTGCCCAGGCCCAGAATGGACTTCCGTAAGTGGCATCCACACAGAGAACTGGTTGTTCACATATTTGAATCCCACCACTGGCTTTTTGGCAAATCACAGACCCTCTCAGCCAACTGATTTCTGGCTCATCAGCAGCATCTGCAAGGAAGCTCACCAGGTATTCATACATTTGGAAATTATAAATCTAATTATATATCCTGGTAACTAAATACTGAGTGTACAGAAACTAACTCAAGCTGCATAATCCAGATTGCAAAGCCTTGTTCCAAATGTAGCAACTCTATTAGATGAGTTGCTTCTTAATTTCTCTCTTTCTACCTCTACAACTATGGATGCACTTTTCTTCCCACTAATGTTATTGGACTATTTGCAATCAAGTCTTAATAACTGCTGGTGCAGGCTGGATGGCTGTGGGTTAAGATTCTCCAAATTTTATTTTAAATTTACATCTAATAGCTCAAATATAAATGATTGGTTCCCCTATTAAATAATTTCAACTTCTGTACTTTCTCTTATTTGCATTTCCTAATGGCAAAATTGAGTTTTGATGCTATGATTTTAGTATTTGTTTCGTCTGAAACATTTCAAGCTATGGAAGCTCCTAAATTATGTTGCGGTCTCGGCCGTTTGGCATCTTTGAAATCTTTCATTAAATTTTAACGTGTCTCAGTGATGCATATCCAAATGGGGACTGCAAAAAGAGATGCTCTGGCTACCCTAGAAAGATATTCAAGGGTGAAATAACAAAGGAATGGCTGCTATAAAAGGAAATGAGGCAAACATCACATAAAGGAACTTTTCTGTGGAAGATATTTAGTTAATTCATTCTATGTATTTTATCCTTTCCTTTAAATATGCCTGCATTCTTCTTCCTGTTGCTGATTGTTTAGAATTGTGTTAGCTTTGGTTCTTCTGTTCTATTTCATGTGCATCTCTGTGTGTGTCCTTGAAACAGTCTATCTGGACCCATACCAGTCGGGCTTCAGGCCGGGATACAGCACGGAAACGGCATTGGTCGCGTTGGTTAATGATCTCTGGAGGGCCCGGGACAGGGGTTATTCCTCTGTCCTTGTTCTTTTGGACCTCTCAGCGGCTTTTGATACTGTAGACCACGGTATCATGCTGCGGCGTCTCGGTGAGTTAGGA